TCGCTAACTTGCTTAGTAGAGGAGAAGCTGGTCCCAATTGGAAGCAAATACTGTGAGTTTAATGAATCTTAAGTTTAGATGGAAACAGGCCATAAACCCAAGCAGTCTTTTAATTATGATATTGTAGGTCTGTGCCTGCTGATCATGGGTGAAATACTGTTCTCTTTGTCATGGCTGTTAGGCAGTATGTCTATCATCTTTTCTTTCTTTCTTTCTTTCTTTCTTTCTTTCTTTCTTTCTTTCTTTCTTTCTTTCTTTCTCTTTTCCTCCCTCCCTCTTCTTTCTTTCTTTCTTTTTCTTTGTTCTTCCCTCCCTTTTCTTCCTTTCCTTTCCCTCTCTCTTCTTTCTTTCTCTTTTCCTCCCTCCCTCTTCTTTCTTTTTCTTTCTTTCTTTCTTTCTTTCTTTCTTTCTTTCTTTCTTTCTTTCTTTCTTTCTTCTTCCCTCCCTCTTCTTCCTTCCTTCCCTTTTCTTCCTTTCCTTTCCCTCTCTCTTCTTCCTTTCTTTGTCAAACAAAAATTACAAATTTGAGCGAACAAAATGAAAAAAATAAATAAAACGTGACAGGGACCCTAGACACATCCGTGCACTCACACGTGCCCTTTTTAAGAACCTCTTAAATACAGAGTGATGTCCGCAGCCGTCAAAGTCAAGAATGAAAGGAGTGAAAATCAGTCGCTGAGACAACAGAATCGGGTAAAATACTCCAGACTTTATGACGCGGCCCAGGGAGCACCTGTAGCTAAAGGGATGCTGCGGAACGAAGGCACCTTTTGCTTTGAATTGTGCGTCTGTGTTTACTTCTCCTTGTCACATTCTCATCACGCGCTAAATAATAATGGGTGGAATGACTCCCAGGTGATGAAACACAGTGAATCCGCACCCATTTGTGGCCTCTCCCAAAACATTCCCCCAAGACAATTTTTAATTTTAACACAGCGCAGCGTCTAGGCGAGTCCCTCCACTCGGCCGACGATTGAGCTTGAAAAACCCAAGTTGAAAGAAAAGGAAAGAAGAACCCTCCATCCAGCATGAATCATCCCAACTCCATTTGGCCCACAAAGTAGAAGTGGATCAAGTCACACGGGCTGCGTGTTGTGCAATACCAAAACTGCAACCACAAACCTCTTCCGAAGAACGGGTTGTGTCTGCTCACCTTCGGGCTGCCTGCTCCACCGTCTCCCCCAGTTGCACCTTCCCCCCAAAGCCGTTCCAGAGGCCGGCTCCAAAGCCGCGCTTCTTCATGCCCAGCAGGATGCGCTGTGGCTGAACCACCAACACCAACGTGTACAGCTTAGTCGTCAGCATGCTGCACCCTAGGTCAAGAAGAGGGAGGGGGGAAGCATCAAGGGCCAAATCCACAGAAATTTTGCAGGAAGCTCCATGTCAGGTGCTGCTTCGTTTGATAATCAGGAAAGAAACCACTCGACTCCATTTGCATGAAATCAAGTGTACTTTTACTAATTACAAACGAATAGTAGCGAGGCAAAGCTGAATCTGGTTAATTAGGCGCGAAAGCAAAGAATATCATGTATAGTTCCATCCCCCCCCCTTGGGAACCCAGTCCATAGTCCAATTATAATTCACCCAACTGTCAGGTGGGAGATATCTTCAAAAAACATCACCAGA